AATCGTGGTACAAAGCTCAATAAAAAGATTAAAAATAAAAAATGTTAACAAGCCACAATAACATTGACGAAAGTGTTTTACAATCCCATATCATCACCACGGGTTGATTTTTCAATGCCAGCGTCCTGGCCACAAACGTGCACCCACTTTCAACGAAAATTTAGGCTTTTTGCCAGACCAAACAAACCCACAAACTTGTTTCAATCACAAAGCACTTCCTTTTATATGATAAATTTGTAATAAATCAAAATTGAAATGAAAATCGCTCATACAACACATCAAATTTCTAAAAAAAAAGCCATCCCGAAGCGATAGAAGACGATGTAAACAAACGGGAAAAACAACCAAAACGTAAGAAAACTTTTTTCTGATTTCGATTACAAATACAACGACGGTGGATTGTGTGATCTGTAGTCGTTGGTTTATGTATTCCGAGTGATTGTGCATGAAACCAGCAACCGCCGTATTTGATTGACTGCCGAAAGCATGATACTGCATTTGAACGGTTGCCGAAAGCATGACACCTCATTTGAACAGTTGGCGAAAGCAAGACGCCGCAGTTGAACGGTAAGCTAAGACAAGCCGTAGCATTGGTTTGTTGCAGAAGTCATAACGCCGTATTTGATATGTTGCTAAGGGCACGAGCATGATACTGCATGATACTGTCAGTGTTGCCTCGAACACATTTTTTTCCTACCAAAATTTCCTACCAAGACCAACCAAATCCTACCAAAAAATTTTGAAGTTTTTAAATTTTACTTAACCCTATTTGTAATCACTCCAACCTTAGGCTATTTAAGAAGTTATGCAATTTGGAGGGCGCGATATTTAAAATTTTGGATGAAGAAGACAATCGTTCCCTAAGGTGTATCAGTCTGATATTTATGATACGTTGGCAGTCACATAGAATATGCTCTGGCGTTTCCTCCACCTGCTCACAAAAGGCTATGGACCATGCAAGCGCATTTAAGCTTCATCTCCCGGAACGCACCAAAGCACTACGCTATTGTGGGCCTCCAAGTATTTTGAACCACTTGCTGCTTTACAGCTGTCCACAAGCCTGATGCCGATTTAAAACAGTCTAAGGCCTTTGGCGTGCCTGACTATTCGACATTATATTTATTTATTTAATTTATTTACTTATTTATTTATTTACTTATCGTCGTCCACCTTTGATCCGTCGGAATACCATACCTGGGACCCTTCGTCAATCACAGTTGTTATCACTTCTCAGCAGTCCTTTTCAGGAATTCTGACTTTGTAGGGTTTGTAGAAGGATAACTCGGGATTATCCTGGAATGCCTTTAGAATGACCCAGAAGATCTCCAACTTTCTTGCGTCGTAGGGCGCCAGCAGGCCTCTTTTTCAAACAGAATGGACAAAGCAAGAATGCCTGTAATGACATAAAGGGCATCCATTGGACAGGTGCCCATATCTCCTGTGAGGACCACGCGGACCAGTCGGCGCAGCTTGCTCAAGGGGTCACCCGCCTTTACTTGATTAGCTTTTGGTCATCAGGACAGTGCCACATATGCGACAAAGAGGTCTTACTACCGTAGTAGTAAGAAGTAGTGAAAGACCAGTAGGTTAGGTTTGGTGATATTCCCCAAGTCTTACCATGAAGTCTCTGTCAGGTGGACAACGGTGAACTTCAGTGAGTTTATTGACAAGCCCTTTTCAGCACACCAGTCTTCAGGACATACATATACATATGTACTTATATATGTAGTTTCTGGTTGAGTTCAATTGAAACTAAGTTGTAGGCACATAAAGTATATACCTTGGATGTACATACATATTGTATATTGGCAATATTGTACTTACGAATCAGGTATGTATATTTCTATCTAAACAAGCTTTCGAAAATGTTTAGATATATGTACATATTTTATATTTTTCGCGAATAACTATTATTGTCGCGGAACCTACCAAAATCCAACCTAGCCTCCCAACCTACCACATGGGAAAAAACCTACCAGTTTTGGTAGGAAAAGCTCATGTTTGGCAACACTGGATACTGAAGTTCAAAAACAATTCAACGAATTGAAATGAAGCATTGATATGTACATATGTACATTAGAGTGGTCCAAAATTGTTTGTGAAAAAGTAAAGTCGGCATTTTAATGCCGCCGCACCCTAATACTAAAGATTTTTAATGGTCCCTCATTGCATTTTCTGTGGGGTTTGGCGGAACTATAAAATATAGTTACCATGAAAAAGTGGTTAAAGAAACAATTGGGTATTATTACTGGGAATCTCCTGAATAGAAACAGAGTTTCCTGATTGAGAAATATAGATTTTCAAGAGTTCTACACTATTTCTACGAAAAGTTCTTTTTTACCATATAAAATACATGGAAAACTTTGAGCGCTTTGAGCACATGCAAAATTTTTTTTATTTCACAATAATATATTTATATATTTTTCCGGTTTAGAACAATCCTAGGGGGTGGCGGCATTAAAGTTCCCACTTTACTGTTTTTGGACCACTCTAATGTAGGGTAACTATGCTAGTGACCGGACACCACCTAGTGACATGACACTTTTGTCTTTTTGCCTGAAATAAGAAAACCGTTGACAATTTTGAATTTTCAGAATTTGAAATCGAAGGCGGCCTTGATTTGTAACGGGACCGCAAATATCATTTCATTTTAAATGCGCCACAGCTTTTACATAAACGCGATCAGTTTATGTGTTTGCTTCGAAGTGTGAAAACGGGCGGATTTTTATTTTTTCGTTAGTGATATACACATTTAGCAACGTAGATTTAAGAGTAAAATTCATGTAAGTATAAGTTCGAAAGTGTTAAGTTTTGATGAAAAATAGTGCAAAAGTCATTTGTTATATAAATTTTGCTAAAAAGTTAATATTTAATTATTAAATTTTACTGTCCGGCTAATAGGATGCCAAATTAGCGCATATTTCAGTTACCGGACAAAGTGTTCGGTGACTAAAAGTATTGCAAAATAACGCGATTTCATTAACCGGACACCCAAAATTTTCATTACTGTAACAGTTTTTAACGCTCTTGTGCCTAAATTTTACATAATTTTAGAATGAGTAATGCAGATTCAGGACAAGCATGCCAATAAAAAGGAAAACAGCGTCCTGACAGGGAAAAAATGGGATTGGCTTTATTAGACATTCGGAACCATGGTATGAGCATTCGCAAACTGCTAGTGTTTACGGTATTCCGAAGTTAACTATTCAAGACCGTGTTAAGTGCAAAGTTGCTGAGTATACATATAGCTTCGGTCCGAAATCCTATCTAACGAGCGAGGAGGAGAAAGAAATAGTTGAGTGGATTTTGAATATGCGCAAATGTGGGTTCCCTTTGAAAAAGGATTGTATTCTTAACACGGTCCAAAAAATCATAAAATTTAGTAGAAGGAGAACCCCATTCAAAGATGGTAGACCTGGTCTGACGTGGCTAAAGCTATTTTTCAAGCGCAGCCCTGGACTTTCAATGAGAGAAGACGAGTTTATAAGCAAAGGAAGAGGTGTGGTTACAGAAATATCCATAAGGCAAAGGTTCTTTGAACTAACCGAATATCTAAAAGACATAAATAGCGAGGATGTTTTGCAAGACCGTTCACGTGTATTTAATGGCGACGAGTCAAGTTTTTCTTTGTGCCCAAAAACAGGAAAAGTCATTGCTCCAAAAGGGTACAAAAATGTGTACCAAATATCCACTGCCTCCGAAAAAGATACCATAACAGTTTTAATGGTCATATCCGCTTTCGGAATCTTTCTTCCTCCTATGGTAATTTTTCCTTACTTGAGGCCGCCAAAAGAAATTGTAAACAGTATTCCAGAAGAATGGTTTCTAGGCCGTACGGAAAGCGGGTGGATGAAAAGCGAAACCTTTTATGAGTATGTAGCAAATTGAATCGACAAATGGTTAAATGCAGAAAACATAAAGAAGCCTGTTATATTGCTTGTTGAAGGACACAGGTCACATTTAACAATGGATCTAAGCCGGTTCTGTGATTCCCATGGTATTATATTATACGCTTTGCCACCTTATACAACGCATTTAATGCAACCGGCTGACGTTAGCCTATTTACACCTTTAAAGACATATTGGAAGCAGACAGTTCGTGAATGGCAAGAAGAGCATGTAGGAGACTCTCTTACTAAAAAAGAATTCTCTCCTTTATTGCTCAAGGTTCTTAGCGAACAAAATTATTCCGAAGCTATAAAAAATGGATTTCGAAAATGCGGTTTGTATCCTTTAAATCCCGATGCAGTAGACCATACGAAATGTGTAAAATCCAACGCAATTGCAATACAAGAACAGGATGAAACTACTTGCCAGAAAAAAACTAGATACAGAATTGCGTCCGAAGTGATAACAGAACTCTCATCCAAATTACGAGATGTGGGCATAGATTCCAACGTTATATTAGAAGTTTTCTCTGAAGAAGAGAGTACAAACTCCGCATCGCGTAATCCTCTTGAATACCAAAACATATATCCCGAAGGACAGCCAGAATGTGCCCCTGATGTAAATAATGTTTTGCATCAGGAAGATAATGACCTTTCATCCATTTCATTGCTTGATGTAACTTTAGATGATCTGGAGATACCGTCCGGTATATTCGTTATAAACAACGATGGAGTTTTAGAGCCAGTATGCAGTAGTTCAAAGGACGTGTCAACAAATATATCTACCGCTATAATACCTTCCCCAGGTCCAAGTTTTGCTAGTAGCTTATCATCGCACTTATTCTACCCAAAACCTATCCGGTTTAAGGGTAAAATAACTAGTAGCACTTTAAGAGCATCTAGTGCTATCTCTTCACAAGGATGGAGAGATATATACGAGCAAAAAGAACGCGAGAAGCAACAAAAACAAACCGCCATAGCTGAAAGGAAACTAGAACGTTTAGCTAAGAGGAACCTTAAACAAAAAAACAGGGCTAAACAAAGGAAACGCTTCTCAAAAAAGAAAGAAATATGCCAGACTTGCTTGGACGAACTCACTAGCGATGTAGATGACGACAACTTAAAGAATATCGGCTGCGACACTTGCCCCTCATGGTATCATCTGAAATGTACCGCATTGAAAGACCTTTCATATTCAGAAGCTTACAAAAACAAGTTTATATGTGCTTTGTGTTCCAACTGAACATTTATTTTTACTGAACTAGCCAAAAATGTTCAACTGTTACTATGAATTCCTATTATTTTTAAAATAAACCCGTTATTTTTGAGTTTGAAGTCTATCATTTATAGAAAAAGCGTTGTAAAATAGAGTGTCCGCTCACTAGATTTCTAACGTCCGCTCAGTAAAAAAACTGTCCGGTCACTAAAGAAATTTGGCTTTTTTCAGAAAAATTATTTTTATACAAAATTTTATTCTTATTCATAAAATACAACTACTTTAGTCAATTTAGAATTAGTTCATAATCCCATATTGATTCAAACTTTTTTGTTCCGATAAACAGGTTGCTATATACGACAGCCTAAAGATGAAAGAAAAGTTAATCGTCCGGTTACTAGCATATTTACCCTATGTACATACATATGTATGTATGTCGTGCTTTCGGCAACTGTTCAAATCAGTGCACGGACTTTACCACTTTATTGGTAGATCTACCAACTTTTTTCTGGCAACTTTACCAACAAAGGATACAAATATACTAATATTTTCCGGTAAGAAAACAAAGAGATTTAAATGAACATATATACATACTTTGTCATCGAACACACCTTAGATAAAAATGAAAAGTTAACTCTGACCATAACCAACTCAAAAATGAGATCGCATGTCTACCAGCTCTATATGTAAATATTTTTCTTCTGAAATACGTTTGTGTGAGGGACTGCCAAGCGAATGGGCTGCAAACTTCAACCATTTCAACTCTGATTTTAATCAAAAACTTTTGTAGCGGAGAATAATTGTTTGTGCCTCCCTCCTATTAAATTAATACATTTTCCGAATCAGAGTCTCCGTGATCGAATAAAAGTTAATATTAAATTTCTTTTTGAGTATTCGGTAATGAATTCGCTTTTACAATCCAAATTGTATTGGAGATAAAACAGCGGAAATTTATTTTTAATTCGTTTCGAATCCTTTTATTCTATCAGGGATGCCGTAATTAGAGCCCAGTTTTATGCCTAGGTTTTTTGTGCATTTTTTATAGACATGAAATAAATTTTTGGTAGTTTTATACAAAAATACAATTCATCCCAACGCGAATTCATATTAGGTGATAGCAGGGTTATCCTATATGAGTAAAAACTATATAATACCTATTTTTTATTATTATTATTTTTTTAATCTACCAACATTTTTGTGTGTAAAATCTACCACTATTAATTTTTTCAAACTACGTGCACTGATTCAAATGCAGTATAATGCTTTCGGCAGTCGATCAAATGCGGCTGTTGCTGGTTTCCTGCATAGCGTTGCCACTAACAATTTTTTTCCTACCAATTTTCTTCTTTTTCCTACCCATCTTATCCGACCAAAATCGTTTACCTACCAAATAAATTTCAATTACAAAAAAGCATTCTGCAAGCATACAATTCATCTATTTAAGATTAAATGTTTCGAACACAAAACATTTACATACATAGATATATGTACTTTGTACATTTTAAAACAAGCAAGAAATAAATAAATGCAGGTACAGTCTTAGGCAAATGAGATCATTTAACATTTTTTGGTTGTATGAATTATATACATATGTATGTACCAATAAGTTTAATTTCATAGAGGTAAATTTAAATCAATTAATTACACATGAAAATCTTTAGCAGCTGACCACATATTGTGCGTGTCATTTTTGTTTACAAGTTCCTTGCATATTACTATTGATACTGCCTATCTTATGTTTATTTCTTATTTTAGTTCTTATCAAAGAAAGCGTTAAAAATTTGCGTTCTGCAGCCGCAGAGCTATGTGGTAATGAAATTATATTAAAAACAAAATTGGTGAAATGCATGGAGCTATTTTCATTCATTCCATTTGTAATAGAATAAACTTTTTCCCAAAACATATCAATATCCAGATCGCTGGAAATATCAAGCTCACTTAGCCTCAGTAAATTCCACTGCCTGGTTATTATATCAGTATCGCAATCTATGAGATGGGGAAACTTTAACAAAAGGAGTAAAATTGGTAAATATTCTTTAGAAACTACCTTAGCTGGTGTTATTATTTGTAAAGGTGTTATATCTTCACGCTTAAAAGCAAAGCCTAAATTTATTTGGTTCAAAAACTCTATGTACAACTTTAATATATTGGTTTGGAAGAGAGGGGGTGAGAAGAAAAGGGACGAGTACACATGCGTCTGTACCGTCAAGTCGTTTCAACTTCCTCGCTTTGCTTTTGGCATTTTCGTTGTTTCCCATTTAAAGGTGACTAGTCGCTTTTTATACCCTTTCGGGTATAAAGGTGAACAATTAGTATCTTCGTAGGACATGCTCGAACAAAAGCGCACAGTTCATTCCATATAAAGAGATCAAAAGTGGTATTAGTCGCATGCTCCTTTGCGATTGCTCCCGGAGTCATCCCGGATTAGTCCCATTTTTTGCAGGGAAGAGATAATGTGCTTTGAGTGTTGTATATAAGTATGGCAAACGAGAGCTTTCAACTTAGAACTCTTTGTTAAGACTGTTAATTATGGGGAAAATATACCATTTAGATTAGTACGCCTACTGTGCTCTGCAAATCAATATGTGCAAAGTTTAAAATTATTGGCCGAGCTTCTCCTCCGATTGGCGGCGTGTGCCTTGATGTCGCACAAACCATTCGACCACGACTGATTTATGCTATTCTGCCCTTTACTCATTTTTGTTGTTTGCGAAAGTTTTCAAACGCCTCAACCGCGGTCCGCGTTTTCCCGCCACCACTAAAAACCTAAGACGGTGAGAACAAATATGCGCACCGCATTGAAGGCTAAAAACAGTAACAATTTACTTTTAATTTCCAATAATTCGCTTATCAGTTATTGGTAAAAATACCGTTCCAGAAGCGAATATAACGCAGAACTGCACTGTATGCAAAAATAGAGAGCAATTCGTTTAAAATACGTTCCATTTTATTCAAATGTATGCCTGTGTACATAACTGGAAGGTTTCAGTAAAATAAAGCCAGAGAAAATACTACTCACGGGCTTTATTTCCTTTTTTATGAAATAAATCAAGCGGGCTTTATTTCCTTTCCTTTGGGAAATAAAGCCCATGGCCATTATTGCTCTTTCGCGAAGGAAATAAAGCCCGCGGGCTTTATTGCTTTTTATTGGTGGGAAATATTTCCCCTTCGAAATAGAAAGAACGCCCGTGGGCTTTATTTCTCTTTTTTGGGAAATAATGCCAATGGGCGTTATTTCCTCGGGCCTTATTTCACTCCACCACCAACGGAGTGGCTCGTTTAATTCAAAATTAGTTTAAAAGTATTCAAAAATAGGGGACAAAAGTTTCTTGACACCCAAGAGGGAACATTAAGGCTAACTTCACCCTGAAGAAGCGGACTTAAAATTAATCCTGTCAGTAATTTAACCATAAAAAACACAACGCTTCCTAGTGAAAGTCATCGTGTTTGAGATATGCCCAAAATATTGTGGGGCTTTACCGAACAGTAGTCCTGAAATTACTTCAGTTCATGTATCCTCTTTGGACTGTGGCAAAATAAACTATATTTGTTGCGGCACAGTGTCTCAATGCTTTTTCGGCAATTTTTTACAATCGTAGCTCGAGTAAAGGTGAAGTGAGTGGCATGTGCACTTTATGTACAAAATAAATCGGATCTGCATTCAATAATGTTTTCAGCACGCCCAAGTCTCCAGCCATAACACTGGCTTCATCAGTGGCCAAGCCAATTAGGTTTTTTATTTTTAAATGCCTAGATTGGCAAATGTTCGGAACCAATCGAAATTTCAGCGAAAGTATAAGGAATTTCGTCATGAAACTTGGTGAGGATGTTGGGGGAGGCCTCCTCAACATGAATTGTTCACTCTCACAATATTTATAATTGCTAATAGTATTTTAGCAATTTGTTGTTAAATAATGTCCACTATCACCCCCTAATTTTTTTAAAATATGCCACTTATCACTTATATTTTGTGTTACATATTATATTTTCAATGCTCACATGCGTATTTTATGCTTTAATTATATAAAATTCACCAATTAATTAAGTAAAACGCGTTTATAAATTTGTGTTCACGTTTTACCACTTTTCACAAACAAATAGAAATAACAATGGCCGACAGTAAGAGCAAATATGTGCTGCCATACGGTTTAAAAGTAAATACGCCACTATTAAAGGATTTTATTAAAACGCGGCCAACACAAAAAGGAGTTGTGCGTAAAATCGTCATATTTTTATGGCAACCGTATTCCAACGGTATTTCTTTTATTCTCTTCTTATTTTTAACCGACTTCCAAAAAAGGAGGAGGTTATGAGTTCGTCGGATTTTTTTTTTTTTTTTTTTTTTTTTTTTTTTT